TGGCACGCGGACAATCAGTGACCAAGCGCCGGCTGACTCTGAGCTACCCACAGTGCTTTATCCGTTGATGATTTACATGCCAACAACCATCCCTGACACCGCGGGTTCTTTTTCTTGTTTTTGTTTCAGCCTGGTGTTCTACGTCGACCATCATCTTCGGAAGCCAGTTTTTTCCCCGGAGACCTCGGAGAGAGACAACCAGTTTCACCCTGCACAACGAAAAAACCAGTTTGTGCCTTCAGCTGCCTTTGTTACTCATCAACTTTGATTATACTTGGACCCAGCCAGTTTTTGTGAACTTTTTCAGCGACATTTTCACATTGCCTTTGCATGACGCAACTCCTTTCAGTATTGGTCCTCTAACTATGTCTGACAGTTTCATGACTGTTTGACACTGCCATTTGGAGGCCACTATGCACTGATTGACACCTTTTCTTGACAGCTTGCTCAAACCAACAACCCGTGATCTTCGCCTCAACGATCCAGTGACACTTCGACCAGCCACCATGGACGCGCAGTGGCAACAATATTACTGGAATCATTACTTGCTTCAACAGCAGCATCATCAGCAGCTTGCCAACCCAGACACAACGGTTTCACCTCCCACTGCAACTCACCACACATACAACCCTACCGGCACTTATGGCCCACTCACTCACGCACTCCGCACGCATCAAGCCCACCACTCTCATCCATACACGACATCACCTTACACACCGCCACCGCAGCACACACCGCCACAACAGGCACCACCATCACAGCCGGAGTTCCCACCTCCACCGCCACCACCACTCCCCACAGCCGACCCAGTCACTCCACCACCATCGACCTACAAGCGCAGCCCATCCAAGACTCTTGGAACCCAACCGACCACCATTGGGATTCCAACACTCTGCACGGCCACCAACTCTACCGTACAATCCAACCCACACAGTGGTCTCGAAAAGCAGGGGTGGCAGGGCTTCCGACCTTCGACATCTTCCCATGGCAACTGGCGTACCATGGTACCTCCGAATTTACCGCCCGCACTCTTAGCAATGGCAAATACACTGGTTTCATTGCCACCAGAAGTATTGCGGAGTCAGTTTTCGTGACCCACCTTCTCCAAGAGCTCCGCGAGAAACGTCTCGACTTAGACGGCATCGCCGAGACCCTCCACACCAAACAGGGCACTGACATCCCCAGCAAGACAACACAGGCCCGAGCCTTCCACGCTCCCCTCATCAAACTACTTAATCCAACAACTCCAAACTCACTCCCCGGCACCAGCGGAGGGCACCGCTCTACGCGCCCTCAAGAACACCACCGACGAGCTGACCAGCCACCCCTCAGCACCGGCCGCCCCCTCACACGAACCCACCCCACCACCACCAAAACCCCCAGCCCTTTCAGATGTCCTGCAACCTCCACACCCAACATTGCAGGACGATATCCCAGATATACACACGGATATCCAACACTGGGTCACCACCTTCGACCCTACCGTCCAGGAAGCCGCCAATGAGGTCGTGCGCTTGCTGCAAACGAGTAAAGTCACCACTCAGCAGCTCAAAGACGCAGCCGCACGTTACGGCCTCCCACTCAACCGGGTCAATCGCTTACCCATCCGGAGCTTGCAACAGCTTGTGAGTGTGGGGGCAGCCATCGGCTGCTGACTCGCTACCCTCGCCCAGCAGCAACCCAGCCACAACAACCTCAACCACCTGTTCCACTTACACCGAGCACTCTCCGTACTCATCCACCACACCCAATACATCGACCGCGCCGAAGCCATCTTTGCCACTGGCCTTATCCACATCACACTCCTTTTCGCATATCCTTCCAACACCCGTCGCTCACAACAATGGCGCAACCGTCTCCGCCAGCTCCACATCCTACCCCACACATACCACTACCACAACTTCCTCTCCTCCAATTCAGTTTACATCAAGCTCCACTTCAATCCTGACCAACCTCAACGCTGCTACCATCAACATGGCCACTTCTATGCGGGCTCCACAGCCATTGGCATTCCCCACCGCGAACACAACCGCCATGCCAAACTCAAACAACTCCAGAACAATATCCCCATTTCTGCAGAACTCTCCCTACGCTATTGGCACTCACACAACAACATCCACCACTACACTACCATCCAACTTACATCCCACGACACATACGACCAAGCTTGGATCCAAGAACACCACTACATCGCAAACTGGATGCCTACACTCAACTGGCCCTTTATCTCCCACCACCTCAAGCTCAAAGCTCAAGGCTGGCAGTTCACCAAACACAGAGCCCATTTCTACTCCAGATTAGCAACCCGCAAACGACTCTTTCGACGCCTGCGGCAACGCCAGTACACACTCAGAGAACCACACCTTTACACCTCCACCAAGCATCACGCCCTCCAACTTCTCCGCAACCTTACCAAACACACAGCAGCCTCCTTTGAAGCAGCCAAAGAACTACGAAGCGGCCGTCACACGGACCTTGAAGTCTACGCCATCCGGCGTATGGCCGCCAACCTTGAAGAACCCGGCCGCAGCAGAGCTCTCCACATCATCAACAAAGCCCTCCTCTACCGCAACCTCACGCCGCCAAAACCAAATATTCCACTGACAGTGCCATTTCTGGCCCACGACGATTTCACCAAACACTGCCAACAGTGGCTCCGCACTACCATTCAGCAGCACAAGCACTTGACCATTCCCCTTCACCTCCCCTCCCACCGACTGCGCGAAGCCGCACACAAAACCCTACGTTCCCACCTACATAACCACCGCACATGGGAGGACACCCTCCACTCCCCGCCAGATCCAGCAGACCTCCCCTGCGCATGCGATCATCTTCGTACTCTCCTGCAGGATCCTGACACACCCACCACCAACGGCCACTACATTCTCACACTTGATCAACTCCAACTTCCCACACATCTTGGCATCTTTCTCAACGCCAACATGAACAGCACCTACTACCCAAGCAAGGCCCGCTACTTCCTCACGTTCCGGACGGCCTACACCAAATGGCTCAAGCTACAGGGGCTCCCACCATCCCTCGTACAACACTTGCAGCCATTCCTCGAGCACCAATGGCGCCTACACAACATGCACCTCAAGCAGCAACCCCGTTTTACGGCTCGCCTGCTTCGCCAACTCCAAGAATACCTCGGCCAACACACAGTGCTTCACCATGCCGACCATGAACTACAACAACTCCGGCTGTTCTGCCCCCGCCAATATTTCACTGGCGCCTTGAATACATGGCAATCCCCCGAACTTTTCGAACCACTTCCCCACCTCACTGCCGCCAACATCCACGACCACCTGGCAGCCACTGTTCCCCCCATTTTGCGCACCCGCTACAAATGGGGCTTCCGCAAAGATTTCAACATTCCCTACGGCGTCGTCCACCTCAAAGAAAAGAAGCAATGGCAGAAAGGCCGCACCATTATCTCATACTTCCAGTCACTCAGTGGCAATCTACTCCGCATCACCAGCCGTGCCCTTGACATTATCCTTCAACACCTTTACCCCCAACATCCCGGCCAAATGTCTATTCCCCAACTTTGGCGCCATTTCCACAGCTACCTCACCCAAACCCCACCAGACATCTCATTGCACGCCACCAACGATGACCTGGTCGGCTTCTTTAACTCGGTCCCACAACACCGCCTCATCGATGCAGTTCACTCTCTCATTCACCACTGGCAACAACAGCAATCCACACACACCCTGACGGTGGATGTCCAGGCTACCGGCAACCCTTTTCACCACTCTCACATTGGCAGACACCATCGAAAACACCCTACACAACGCACCATCCAAACATCAGATATCACCACCATCGTGGGCTTTGTCCTCAACACATGCATTTTCCGGGCTTGCAACAACACCTACAAGCAAATCCGAGGAGCTGGGATTGGATCCCAGCTCTCTCCAGCCCTCTGCAATGTCGCCATTACCCTCATAGAACATTCCTGGCATCAGATCCACAACAACTTACTTCAACACACTGACCTACACTTCACTTACTATCGATATGTCGACAACCGTTTCATTGTCCACAACGAACATTTCCTCCACCATCCAGCCATTCAAACCCTCATCCACCACAACTTCTTTGGCGACCCAGTGGAACTCGAACCGGTGGAGGACTTCCATCTCCTAGGCTTCAACATCGACCTCCCACAACGCACCATCACCTACATGCAACCTTCCCAACCCTGGAAAATCAGGGATTCCACCACCGCCGGGAGCCAGCGCTTGGCTCTGTCAGGCCTCCAATCAAGACTCCACACCATTCGCAAATACACATTTCCACCCTCCAGCGCTGAAGCTGCTGCTGCCGAGCTAGTGAGGCTCTATGTCCAAAAAGGACACAACCATCACGCCTGCCACCGTTTTTTGAAAAAGCGCCGAAGACGGCGATCTGTGTGTGTCCACCCCTGGACAAAGGGTTTTCCTCCGCCACCTCCTTCACCGATTTTCCACGAACTTTCACATGCAGGGGGATCACCCACGGACTTGACTGGTGATCCAACGAAGAGGGTCAAGATCCGTGCTGATATCTGGCCTGATCAGCCAGACGTACCTGCTCGTTCTTCACAAGCTGTTACTCCAATTTTCCTTTTTTGATTCATGGTCGTTTGCATGATACTTCCCACAAACCTACTCGTCCCCAGCAGCTGAGCCGCCGATCGTCCGCAGATGTGCAGCGTTTGAGAAACTACGTTAAACATTTCAAGTGATCTGACCCAATCACCATGCCGTTCCACCGCCATCCTTCCCATCGTGGTAACTGAGTCACTGAATACAAGTGTCAGAGTGTGTGCGCATCTTGTTTAAGATCCTTGTCTTCCTTTGTTTCCTTCCTTCTTTAGACCTTTGGGCCTTTCTTTCTTCGGTTCCTTTCTTGGGACACTCGTCTTCCTTTGTGTCTTTCTTTCTTTAGACCTTTGAACTTTGGACCTTTCTTCTTTGTTTCCTTTATCCTTTCAACCAATGGAGCGCTCAAGCCTCATCTGCCGAAAGGTTCTTCAAGAAGTGCTGGAGCGCAACCTCGATCACAGCGTCATAGAGACGAACGTTGCAATGTTGCAGAAGAAACTTGCAAAAGAAAGAGTCTAGTAACTAGAAAGCTTTATTGTTACTACAGGTGAAATGATTCCCAGTGCAACGATTCCCAGTCAGGGAAAGCGCGTTGAAAGATCTCACTTGGCTTTCTGCAGCAGCCTCCAGGAAATTAATGACATGGCTGGACTCCCAGCAGCATGTTTTGCTTCCAATTTCGCACGTTTCTTCATAAACTCGTTGAAAGGTGTGATGATATGATATGTTTAGATTGAAAACAACTGTGCGCCGCCAAGTAAGACAACTCATGCAACCGATTAATCAGAATAGTCGGCAAAAGTTGGCAGCAAAGAATACATTGATGTGTTTTATTCTGGCTTGCTTCGCGTGGGCTTAGGTCAACAAACCTTGTGCTTGGCGTTCGCGGATCTTGCGCCACGAGTCGTTCCACAGTTTGCTCGTTGGGGTTGCTGCCTACTTTGACAAACACTTTCGCAGCAATTGCCCTTCTCAACTTACAGATTGGTCGCAATATACTCCAACATCCAAGCTGCGCGTCGCACATTTTTTGGCTCACACAGGCTAACATGAGAAACCAATAGCAGCTCAACGTGGCGCAACAATACAGGCACAAAACATAGGCTGGGCATCATTGTAGCCATTGGGAGTTTCCTGAACGGCACCAGCTGAGGGCAAGTAAATGGCTCCGGCCTGCACCGCGTCCATCAGTCCAGAGCGACCCTCATGCAGCATGCAGCAGCTACAGTGCAACGAATCCGCAGTTGATGCACCAGCCGAGGCCCGTTCACCTACAAAGCACAAGTGCAAGTAGCAAGAAATGCTGCATCTGCCGCAAGCATGGCTTTCATTGGTTTTCAACGAATTCAAATTGGGCCGTTGAGGAAGATGGGTTTGGCAATTTGTCAATGTCTTGATCGACTAGCCATGGCTTGGGGCAGCTAGTGATGACAAATACGTCCACTGTGGATGGGAGGGTCGATGGCAGTCGCGGAGAAGCAAACGCTTCACGCTTGGCATTTACAGGAACCATCAACTCATGGTCTCGATTGACTAATCCGCTGACCCGCCTTCAATTGTTTTGGCGAGGGCGGGAAGATTGCGACACCAGTCACAGGATCACCACAGACCTTGACCTGCCGATTTTCCGCAATGGCTCAGGTGTCAGGCAATGAGGCTTGCAAAACCTTTAAGCATATACAGTTTCCGTTCCCGTTCGTGTTTCCCCAATTGCCTCTGGCCTTTGGGTTTTATGCCACCACGTCACCGCCCAAAGATATTCTCAATCGCGTTTACGACACAAATGACTCTAAGATCTCTAAGGCTCGATTTTGCATTAGGAGTCGAAGGCATTCCAATTCTTGTTTCTGGAACGTGTTTTTCAATCTTGCGGTTCTTGTCTGTATCCTGTTGAGCTGTCTTTGTAATGTGGAGCGTGTGAAGCAAACAAACGAGATAGCCAAAAGCCAGTGTCGCAAGCGATGATGGTTCGATCTAGCCAAGTCGAGTTCGATCTAGCCTGCTTGCTTCGGGTCGTAATGAAGGAATGGGGCCTTCAAAGTTTGAAGGTCCCATTTTGCTGCTAACAGCTTCCGCACGGCCAGCTGTGCAGGGCCTCTCCCAGGTCCAAAAGGGCAACATCGGTGAAGAAAGCAATGTCCTGCTCCAAAGGAAAACCAGCGACCTTAAGGTGGCATGGAACAACTTGGAACAACTGTAAAGCTGTCACAACAACACTGAGAAAGCAGCTGCATTGGCCTCAACAACCTTAGCGACGGCAGGCTCGCCCTTGCACTGTGCATTCTGCATGAGACGGCAGGCTGAACGAAACGCAGGCCATCCGAACTTGTCGAACTTTTCCTCAGAAGCATTTCTTCAAGATCAGTGTGTCGAATCGTGGGTTTTGAGGCTCCAGCATGCTCACAAGCTAGTGCAGAATATAGCAGGTCGCTCCTGCGCACAGTTCTCAGGGTCTCTGAATCTGATGAAAATGAAAACGCTTCAAAGTGGATTGCCAACTCGCAGCATCTCGACTTGCTGACAAAGTACTGTAATAATTTCTCCAGCCAAGAGACCGCAGCAAGCATCAGAACAGCCACGCATGTTAAGCTATCGCAGCCAACCACCCGTGTTGGTCAGACGTGTTGGTCAGAAAATGCATCGCTACTTGTTCTTGTCGCAAAGCGTTCACTTTCGATCAGCGGCATTATGTTTGCATTTGTCTGCTTCATTTTGTTCACTAAGAGTTGCCACTAGATGAAGCAATCAAAGGCATGTGGATAATCAAATTTGAGAGCGGTGATCAATCCTGTTCTGCATTGAATATTGCAACAGTTGTTAAACAAAGCCAAAACAAACAGGTTTCTTGCGCAATTGAAAAAGTGTGGTCTTGAACCTATGACTTATAAATTGTGTTTACTCTCAAAATACAACCGTTTTGGCAGAAGGGCCGGAAGGGGTTGTTCATTGTTTTTCTGTTGTAATTGCGTTTCTGTAAAGAAGGCCGATGCCCATTTGAGAGCAAGGGTTGAGGACAAGTAACAGGGTCAGTGGAACCCAGAAGTTGACACATAAGTTCTACATGTTATTTCACTGATGTGAGAAATTTATGTGGAATCACGCACGGATAAAATGATCTCAATGTGTGTTGGATTGGGACCAAACATAGGAGAGGCACAGCCTCGTACACAAAGTGAGATGAGGCGAACCTAGGACAAACTAGGTACATGGATTGTTCATTGATTTTCACTATTCTGCGTTCTGTTGGCATGAACTGAAATACTTGGAGGCCAAGTGGTTTGGCGCAATAAGTACATGGGGTGGGGTGAGGCAGCGTGGTTCAGGGTATGATCTTTTCCCTGGGGCTGTTGGTGTCAACCAGCATGCAATCTTTCCAGGATCAAAATGGATTCAAACTTGTACAGTACTCAACTTGTACTCACAAAAGACTCTGGCACACGACAAGGAAAAATATCCCTCACCTTTTGACACGTGATTCATGGGTTTTGGAAAGCTGAAGACAGTGAGGGTCTCGAGGATCGGGATGCGGATGAGCAATTTAGGATCGGCGAAGATGAGGATGAGGATCAGCCATGCAGCGCTGCCTATTTCCTGCAACTCTGCTCTCTGCTAGTACCTTCGCTATGTTTTGAGCTGCCTTGCCTCCGTTCAGTGTGCTCCTGCAATTCCCTGCGCGCTGCCTCGGTCTTGCCCTGCTACATTGGACCCGGACCAAGCCTGCTTACATAGCCTGGACCAAACACAGACCTGAGCACTGCTGTTCCACAAGCAATCGTTCGCGCATGTGTTGGATCTTCCGACTTGGATGCCAGCTCTTGCAACACCTCCAAAGAACTCTCTGACATTACTTCGCTGCCTTGCCAACTCCGCGAATCATAACAATGTGTCAAGAGCCCCTCCGTCTTCAAATCTTCAGAAAACAATAATGTCCGGATTCGGGAGGCCTTGTTGCAAGCTGTGCAAAAGCCCAGACCAACGCCGCAACCCCTTAACAAAAACGGTTTGGCCACGTGGGGTTCGGCTAAAAGTAAACCTCATGATGCCACAAGTGCATACAAGTGCTAGAGCCTCCTCTTGGCTTTTTGCCATCCACTCCAACATGGCCAGGCTAATTTTCTCCAGGGGTGTCTTCATCAAACCTCCAAAAATGACTTGTCAAATAACAAGCCAAGCAAAGCAGGTCTAACAAGGCAGGTCTTCCCACGTCACATGTGCAAAGGTCTCCAAACTTTCCTGTTACACAAGATGGTTGCAATTATTGTGGTAACTGTATTCTTTTGTACCCTCTTCGTGGCCTTCAAGCAGTTCTGGCACCGAGCAGAAGCGTTGCGTGAAAGGCCACGTCGAGAAATCTGACAACCTAGAGGAAAACCACTGCAGTGTAGAAAGGAGAAAAACATCAAAATGAACAACATATTCAAGATGATTGGCGCAAGGCTCCAAACCAAGCCTCAGCCACATCATAACGGTGGTGAGAGCGCGGGATTTTTCTTGCCAAAACGGAGATGGATGATCGCCTAGGTCAATGGTGCGCAGCAGCATCCCATCCACAACGCTAAGCTCACAGTGTCTCAATGCTAAGGTGAGATAGCACTTGGACAGTTTTGAGAGTTTCAGTTTGGTGTTGTTTTCCTGTCATTTAATGGTCCAAGCCTGGAAGAGATACAGCATGAACCATAAAGCCATAAGGGACTGACTTTTGAAGCCTAAGTTCCAAATGTCACGAAAAACAACATTGAAAAAGAAAGTCCGCGCCTATAGAGCCACTCATCCACAGGCAAGAAAAGCGGAAACCCCATGGCATATGCCTGGCAGACACAGAACAGAAGCACTGGAACCAGGCTCCTCCATCAAATTTGGGTGCATCATGTCCGCAATTTTGCTGAGACTTGCTCGGCTTTAGTTGGAGACCTGCCCCGCGATCCCAGCAACCTTTTTCCAAATCCTTTGCATAGCCTGGGAAGCATTTAAAGGACTGGACTTTAAACAGGCCGTCTTGTGGGATGGCATGCTGTGGTTTTGGGAGTTTGGTGGCGCTGATGGTTTCAGCTTTGGGCATGGTCAGCATTTTCAGGGAAGAGCTTTGCATTAATTAATTCAGAAAGGACTGCCAGCACCATCACAAAGGGGCCGTTTTGTTTCTGTGGACAGAGGAATCCATGCTCTCATTTGCACAAACTGTGAACATACCAGCGCACGCTGACTGTTGGCTCAAGAAAAGACAAGCCATGACAAGCCCGCTTTTTGTCCTTTGGGATGCTTAGGTTATGAGCCCAAGCAACAAAAGTCCACCCTCCATTTGAGGAGGTTGCTGGGCAAGGCGCCGGCGCTCTCGGGAGATGGAAAGGGTGGTGGACCCTGGCGACAGGCCAGGGATGCTGCGAGTCGGAGCAGCGGAGGAGCGGCTCGAAGCGCTGCTGGAAGAGGAGCGAGAAGCAAGAGCTGCATCAGTGCCTGCGAGGACGGCAGCGGTTCGGCGCTTGGCGGTGGCTTCGCCGGCTCAAGGAGGGCCGACGACAACGACAAGCTCTTCGGCACGAAGGTCTGGGAGTGAGCCAGAAGGACCGGGCCGAGGTCGCGAGAGGGAGACGGGACAGGTGACCATCGAGGCAGCTCCGGGGCTATTGGACTCAGTGAGACAGTCACTTGAGGTTCTACAAAGAGCGTTTGGAGGAACCCCTCAGAATCAGGGTCTACTAGGTCCACTTCGTGATCACCATGATTTGGGACATCTAGCCGGCAGTGTTTCTAATGTTCATGGAGGGCATGGAAGCATCGTGGTGTCAAGGCCAATCAGCTATGGGCCTAGGATGGAGTCTGGGCCGCAACCTAGGGTGCTCGATCCGTATGCCATGACTACACCTCCACAGGCACGAGGGGAAGAGATCAATCCCTTCTGGAGCACGCAGGCTGGCAGTGCACAACCGGGAGTAGACCTGAACAGGACCCGGTACCTCCAGGCGATGTTCGGAGCCCATCTTGAAGTGGAGGCCATCAGGGAGAAGGTCCTCAAGGAGGCGGAAACCCTGTTTGCAAAGGAGATCAAGAAGATCACGAGGGGTGGCGAATCGTCTTCGTTCGAGTCGGTCCCAAGTGCTGGTCGGGAGCAAGGGAAGCCTAGGGTTGAGGTCTCGCGCTCTGGGATTGGTTTGGATGGTCAGGGACACCCCCTACCACATGATCAAGGAGGTCCTCAATTACATGGTCTTGAATGTCCACCAGGGTTGCAGGGAGGAGGAACAAGTCAGGGTCCTTCAACCAGAACTGAAGCTACTGGGGCGCGGTGAACGAAGTGTTCCGGAGCTTGGAGTTGCCGGCATTGCCATTGCCGGGTAGTGACGGGGCATCATTGGCCTTTGGAGATTGGTTGACGGTGGCCATGCCGCTCATGTGTGATCTGTCAGCGTCAGCGAGAGGGTGGTGGCGGGCGAACGTCATTGAGGCGGAGGCACTCTATGAAACTTGGTTGAAGTTGAAGCCGCTCGAACGGTTGAGACTGAAAGTGGAGCGCCCTATGGACCCAAGTTTTGAAAGGGTGGAACATCGTGGAGTGACTATTTTGCTGGGTGTTCTCCCCGATCAAGTTCGAAAAGACGTGATTGCATCCAGAAAGGTTAGCTGTTTGGGAATCCTCTTTCGGTTGTACACCATCTTTCAACCTGGGGGGTCAGCCGAGCGGACAGCACTTCTCAAGAGCATCACGGATCTTTCAGGAATTCGTCAATGGAGGCGCTGGATTCAACGTGCTCAGGAGTTGGGTCTGACGACTCCCGATCCCTTGGTGTTGGTGCAAGTTTTGAATCGGGTCACTGAAGCCTTGGGTTGACGTGGAGGAGCTCAGGTTTCATTTCGAATGGCCGCGGCAAGGCAAGATCTAGCTGTGGATCAATGCCCTACGATGGAATCCATCATGGAGTACGCAAAGTATGCGCAAGCTGAGGCTGAAGATCTGGCTCTGGTGATGGGTTCATCCAAGGCATCTACAACAAGTTTGAATACCAACACTGCTCCTGCTATCGGCTCCGAAGGTGGCAGCGTTCAATTCGGTGGGGTCCACGGAGGAGAAGCCAAAGGCTCCGTGCAGGTCTTGGGGCTCAACTCAGGGCTGTAGAAGGGGTGATCAATGCACCTATTTGCATTCCTGGGAGGGCATGAACAAGCAGAACCGGTGCTATGTGTGTAGTGGGGAAGGGCATACGTCGAAGGAATGTCCTACCCGAAAGGAGCGGGATCAGAAAGATCCGAAGAAGATGGCGAAGATGAAGAACGCTTCGTCAAACAAGGATTCGCCAGTGAAAGGCACAGAAGATCCTGACACGTCGAAGGGGTCCGAAGCCGCTACTACGACTACATCTCAACCGAGTCCGGGGTCCTTGAAGAGCTCGCAGGCATCAGGGAGTCGGGAGGGGGAGAAGGAAGGTGGCGGTGGTGGAGCTTTGACGGGGAGCACTGAGGCCACTACGGCATTGATTGCGGAAGCAACTGGTCTACTCAAGTCTTTGAGGACACTCAAGGCCTGCAGATTGAAACAAGTGTGCCAAGTTCAGCCAGGACTTGGGACAGAACGGGAGGTAGCCTTGCTCGATGGAGGGGCAACGCATCCTTTGAGAACTGCAGAACCAGGAGAACGGGCACATCTCATCCCAGTTCAAGTGGAACTTGCACATGGTTCAACTACGCTGTATAGGAAGGAAGGTTGCAGTACGTTGCTGTCATTGGAGTCGGTGGAGCCGATCATACCCTTGACGCTGCTGGTGCATCATGGCTTCCAGATCCAATGTCAAAGGAGGGGTGTGTCATCAAACATCCCCGGCAGGGTCCAATTTCCTGTTGGCTGCGAGGAGGCTGCCCAGTCATGGATCGCCGCAAGGCGTTGGAGATGCTCCAGGGGTTTGAGGAGATGGAAGCTCGCCGACTGGATTTGGAGCCGGAGGATGTGGCATGGTGGATGGGGAATGTTCCAGGATTTCCCAAAGAGCTACTGACCTGTATGAAGGGCCAGTCGTGGAACCCATCGGGGGAAGAGCTGCCATGGAACAGGAGGCAAAGAAGATCTCATCAAACTGCAAAGGGCATCATAGTGCACTTGTTCTCAGAGCTCGCTGGAAGAAGACATTGCCATCAGGATATGTGTGGCTATTCCTGGATACACAGCTTGGCTCTCGACTTGATCTTCACTCACCACAGGTATGGGGATACCTTTGTTCGTTGGGCAAGCAGGGACAGCTGCGAGCAGTATTAGGTGGCCCACCTTGTCGAACGACATCCAGGCTTCGCAATAAAGGACCACCTGGCCCACGTCGAGTTCGAGGTCGCGGGCAGGAAAGATGGGGGGTGCAACAAATGACAGAACAGGAGGCACAACTGACTGACAATGATTCAGCATTGGTACTCAAGCAGATCGCCCTCTGGAAGATGTCTGAGCAGAGCCCGAAGAGAAGGTTCAGGACTGGGTTTTTGTTGGAAAGCCCACAAGATCCAGCTACCTACTTGGACACTACAGAAGGTCAGGAGTCACCGTCGTTCTTTGAATGGCCGCAATTGCAGCAACTGCTGGGAGAAGATGAACCTATGAAGATGGTATGCTTTGATCAAGGAGCGACAGGTCATTGCAGAAGGAAGCCAACTGGACTATTGACCAACCTGCCAATGATGGAGCAGCTGGAGTTCTGCAAAGGAGGTGGAACCACAAATCCAGTTTGCGGAGATCTGAGTCAACGCATGGCTACATCAAGAAGCTGGTCGGAGTGGTCCTCGGGCCTTGTGAGGGCAATCCAGTACTCGCTGAAGGAGATGCTCAAGGAGGATGAGGACACAGTCCAGGTGGCGAAGTTCAACCTGGATGAATGGCGCAGACACGTCAGAATGCAGCACGTGCCATTCAGGCGCGACTGCCGTGCCTGCATCGAAGCGATGGGAATGCAACATCCCCATCGAAGATCCAAGACAGCGTCGGCAGCCTTCACCTTGGCAATTGACATCATGGGTCCGTTCACCTATGGCAAAGATCTAGCCACTGGAAGGATGGCTAAGTACGCGCTGTTGGGCACAGTGCCCATTCCAGTTCCAGACCAACTCCCAGGTGCACCTGAGGTGGAGAATTTGGAGGAGGTACATATGGAAGATGGTGATCCTGTGGGAGGGCTGGAGGAAGAAGAAACTGAGGATCAAGCCCCTGATGTGGGGAAGAAGAAGAGGTGTTGGAGGAGGCTGTAGCAGGGGATGAAGAGCCTATGGATCCAGTTGATCTTGAAGCCATCCAAGAACTGATGAAGCCTCACAAACTCCAAAACATCACGATGGTCGAGATCCTGGAAGACCGAAGTGTGACTTCGCTGCTGGCAGGACTATCTCGACTACATGCACGATTCCGCTGCCTGGGTGTCAATTTGGTAAGGTTACATAGTGACCGAGAAAAAGGGCTGCTATCAAAAAGAGTGGCAACTTGGTGTGGACACAGGCATATGATTCACACCTTTACTCAAGGCGATGACCCCCAGAGCAACGGCAGAGCTGAAGCTGAAGTGCAACAAGTAAAACGTCGCCTCAGACTCATCCTTCATCAGTCTAAGGTGGAGCCAGATCTGTGGCCTGGAGCCATCCGGCATGCAGCAGAGGACCGATGCCGCCAACAGCTTCGACATTTGGGAGTCGCAGTTCAACCTATGCATCGGTTTGGCGCCCTGGTAGTAGTTCGATCAAAATTAGTTCGATCCCAAGCAGAGACCAAGGCGGTCAATCCGTTGGAAGCTTCAACCTCAAGTTCGCCCTTTGAGCTGTACGCTGGCGGAGCAGATGCCACTGTGCT